GGGAGGTTTTCCGGTGGGTCTCCTTTGCTACTTCCTCTGCAGAGGCGATCTATATGCGTGAGGCATCGACGCCATACAACCGTTGATGCTGACCATCCCACTGAAACTCCATGGTCATCCAGCTCCAGTCACAGACCATCAATTCTAATTTTTTCAACCACTGAACTCCAAGGACAAAATCGAGATCCGTTAGTGGCAAAATATAAAGAGTAATGTAAAATAGAATACCTTAGAGGTGGACCAACACATTTTCAAACCTCCCTTAATATTTCATCAGGCTATCATTGACCACTTTGATGGAGAAGAACTGAGTCAAAATCATCGGAAGTTTTAGCATGCTAGCGATTCACTCACTGATAAAACTGTGAGTTAAGTCACTGTCAATAAGGACAATGAGTGGTGGTTGTAGATGGTGGTAGTAATGTGCATTATTCTAGCTGTTGACCGGCTCGTGAACCCATGGAGGGAAATCTCGGGCTCAACCATCTTCTTCTTCTTTAGCCTCGTTTAGGTGCAGAATATGAGGTCGATGACATCTATGGCCCCGTGGTGAACTTTTCATCATAGCTAAAAGAGAGGCCTTGCGCCTACCGCTATTGCATCTTTTCCCACGGCAAGCGCTTCAGGTTGGCTTCAGTGGCTAGGATCGGGGGTGGGGTGACTGGGTTGCATCTGAACCGAGTAAGTCTCCCTATCGACCTAATTGCTCCTGCCTTATACGGGTCAAGCTGATGGGCTCCTTTAAGGACTTGAGTTGAAACATTTTGATGCCGTCCGCGATCTCGGGTTTAAGCCTACCAATCAATATACCCACCAGAACCTTTTGGGTCGAACCCTAAACCTTATTACCAATCTCTTAAACTCCTTCTGATATTCTCTCAAAGGTCCAGTCTACTTCATTTTGAACAAGACCTCGTCAAATTCCTTACACTCTGTCGACCTAAATTGAGTCCACAATTCTTCCTCAAATGCGGCCCAAGTCACAATCTTCCCTTCTTTTCTGTAAGCCCAGCAAAGCCACTATCACCACTGTTTGGCTTTACCTTCCAGGTGGAAAGAGGCCAGTTGCACCTTTTGGTCAGTGACTGTGCCTTGATAATCCTTGAACTACTCTACACACTTCAACTACTCTGTCGGATCGTCGCCCTAGTAGGTGAAAAACTAGAGCTTCGTGAGTTTGGAATAAAAAGACTAACGACTTTTGTTGTTTCTACTGACACATCTTCATGGCTCGTTCACAGAAGGCACAATCGACCCTACATATTGCTGCTGGAACCTTTCACGGGTCACCAACAGGGCATCTGTCAGTCACTTGAGATTATCTTCGATTTGGCCGTAAACCCCAACTCCATATGGCTGAGGTTGTCTTGCAGTCCGCCTATGCTCATCTCTAGTTTTTCAATTGTTTCTTTGTTGGTAGACATGACTCTAATACCAAATGTTAGGTCCCAATCAGAACCAAGAGAGATTGAAAGAAATTTTTTTTCTATTTAGTGTTAGAATCACCATAAAATTGAGTGCAATCTAATACTTCATTTTATTTATGAACTGAAAAGCTTAAATAGAAGAGTTACAACAACTTCTTCTTGCTATTCAGGAAGCACAAGGATACCAACCATAACAGCTAAAAGATAACAATTAATTAAAAAAAAATCAGATAGCTTGACCGAGTCTTGAGGAATGATGGGTTGCTTAATTTTCCACATTTTCCATGCTTCTGACTTAGAAATACTTGGGGTTCTTGATTGTTTTCCTTAGAGATCTTTGGGTTGTAACATATTCTATGTCATTTATGCTCCAATTTGTCTTTAAAAACTGACAATACAAAATATTAGAATATTTTTTTAATGTGGAAGATCAGACTATGTTGCAACCTATATTCAAAATTCTGACCTTGATATTATAAGTGTTCTCACGTAAGATCTTATCTTCTTAAATAGAATTTAACATTGAATTATAATTTACTAATATAATATATCATTGCAACTTTTAACAATAGCTATAAAATAGATAAGAAAACATAGACAATAAATAAAGAGAACACCAGAATTTTAATAAGATTCAACCACAAACACCATGAAAATAACTATTATTTCTTCAACTAAGTTAAAGAAAACAAAGTAAAAATAAGTAAATATTTTGTCTTTTAGTAAATGATTAACAATGAAGGAGAGTCTACCATTTTCTAGCAAAAAGAGCCTCCCCATCTTTTCTCATCATTGATGTGGGATAAAAAATGACAAAATGAAAATAGACCACTTTTATATATTATGTACTGCAAAGAAAATCCAAGCAATGATAATATCATTACCTAAGATTGTTGTAGTGATGAAGTTAGCATCAGATGACAAAATATTGATGTACCTTGATTCCATGCTTGGTAAAGGCCTCCTTTTGTTCTAATGTTTATGAACTTCAAAATTTGTAAAGTGCTGACTGTTCAAGATTTGACACATTCTATGTTTATTCACCTTAGTTTATGAGAGAAAAAAAAATAGTTTGTGCATTTTCTCCAACTCCCTTAATGATCTAATTGCAGAGGCATGAAACAACATTTTATAGTTAGCTATGAGGAACCTCATAGTTGTGTTGGAGGCAATGGGTATGTCTCCATAGTCATATTTTGATTTGTGTGGGTTGGTTGAAAAGGCTCTACAAGGAGTTCTGTACTTTTTTTTTTCTTTAACTATTAGGTCTTTTTCTTTAATGAATCTCATCTTATTTTTCTTCTAGTTTAGACTTTATATAGGGTCAAAGAAGGAAAACTGACCTATGTCATAGACTATCAATGGCTTTTGTGGAGACTATAAGGAAATTTGGATAAATTAGGTTTTAATGCTGGACAATTCTCAGCTTGTTTTGCTGAGTTGCCAAGCCTTTATTTATATAGAGCTTTTACAATATGCTGGTGATAAGAACGAAAATGGCACACTCAAATGTCATGTTTGTGATTAATACAACTGTTGTAACAAACGTATAATATTCTTCAGCTAAGGAATAAGAAATAATCATGAGGAAATGATGAGCTATGTGTGATTTGCAAATGACAGCCTGTGAAAACGGTTATATTTCTCTAGCTGGTTTTGTAATATTTTTGGTTGTATTAGTAGGTGGATTTGATGCTCTTTCATCCCCCCTCAACCTTGGCACTGGAAGAGGTCTTGACACCACTCTTAAGTTTGCTACGGAAGTAATTAAATTGAGATTGAGAGGGAGCCTTGGTGAGACAATCAACAATTTGATCACAAAGAGGTACATATTTGATGTCCAGTTGCTTCCCCAACAATTTATCTCGAATGAAGTGGACATCAACTTCTATGTGCTTGGTACGAGACTGAAAAACTAGATTGCTTGCAAGGGCATTTACACTCACATTATCAAACTAGGAAATTGATCCTTGGGATAGAGGAAAGTGAAGTTCTTTAAAAAGAGATTCCAGCCAACTGATTTCGCAAGAAAGATGTGTCAATGCTCTATACTCCGACTTTGTACTAGATTTGGAGACTACATTCTATTTCTTAGAGCTCCAAGACACTAGAGTATCACCAAAGAATACACAGTATCCTACCAGTGTCAATCTGTCATAAGCTTTTATGTGCAGCCCTACATCAATTATTCCCTTGAAATATCTAAGCACTCTTTTGACTGCTGTTAGGCGCTGATTTGTAGGTTTTTGCATGAACTGACTCAATTTATTGACGATGAAGGATGTCTGGTCGTGTGTGAGTGACACTCTGCAGTGCTTTAATGATTTGTGTGTATAATGTTGGATTCGACGATGGATCACCATCATAAAGTGACATTGCAGTACCAACGGCTGCAGGAGTAACACATGGTTTGGTGAGAAGCATATCATTCTTTTTTAATAGCTCTTTAATGAATTTAGTTTGTGTCAAGTACAGGTATGTTTCATCTTGTGTTGCTTCAATTCCCAGAAATAGGTACAGCTCTCCAAGATTTTTCAAGGCAAATAAGTTGTGAAGCTGATAGATGAACTTTTGTTCCTTCTCGTTGTTGCTTCTTGCCACTATAATATCATCAACATATATTAGTACTATAATAACAAGATTTGTATTGACCATAAAAAGTAAGGAAGTGTTTGATTTTGAGTTCTTGAAACTCCATTATAGTAGTGTTAGTCTCAATTTTTCGAACCAAGCTCTGGGTGCTTGTTTGACTCCGTACAGTGCTTTTTTTTAATTTGCATACAAAGGTTGGTCTTTTTTTTATCTTCAAACCCCTGTAGTTGACTCATATAAACTGTTTCCTTCAATTCTCCATTTCAAAACGCATTATTCACATCTAGTTGTGTAACATTTCATCCTTTTGAAATGACTATGGTAAATATTACTCTTATAGTTGATGCTTTGATGATTGGTTTGAATGTTTGACTAAAATGAATACTAGGTGTTTGATGAAAACCTTTTGCTACAACCCTTACTTTACATCTCTGAAAGCTTTCATCAACATTGTCCTTGACTCTGAAAACCTAGTTATTGCCCACTATGTTCATTTTGGGTCTGTGAGGAACAAGGGTCCAAGTTTTGTTTCTTACAAGTGCATCCATTTCATCTTGCATTTCTACTTTCTAGAGTGGATGATTTATCGCTGCTGCAACTGAGTTTGGCACATCAAGAAGTTCCGTTTCTATTTTTTTGACATTGAAGAGTTGGTATTCTGATGGGTACTTCTTGGGTTTATGAATCCTTACTTTTGGCTCTTGTCAACATCTAGTGTCTGGTAAGTTCTTATTGATTATGAGTGCTTGACATCTCTTTTTCTTCTTCTTGTCTGATGTTTATCTCTTGTATGGCAGGCGGACCAATATCAAAATCTAATTCATTTGACTTCAGAGAACTACCAGTACTTGAGTGTTCTGGATGATTTTGAGGCGGCAATTATTGTGACTCAACTTGAGGTGTTGCTGCTGCTGTAGATTCTGCAATTGGGTCTTCATTACTTGAATTTGAAAGAGAGGGTATGGGTATGTAAAAGTCTATTTGAGAGGTATTAAGCTAGATAGGGAAAGACACTATAGTTTGGTTTTATCATGATTTCGTGTTTAAAAATCTAGAGTGGAAATGAAACTGTGTTTCATTGACTATTACATGCCTGGAAATATATATTCAACCTGTAGAACTCAAACCCTTCTGCCCTTTATGTTAAAGACTATATCCCAAGAACATACACTTAGTGGAATGAAACAAAAATTTGTGATTTGATAAGGTTATAAGACATGGAAAACAGGTGCAACCAAAGATTTTGAGTAAGTGATAATCAAGTAATCTGTTGTATAATTTTTGCATGGGTGAGAGGTTTTGCAAAATGGGTGTAGGTAATCTGTTGATGAGGAAAGTTGTAGTCTAAAAGGCTTCAACCTAGTATTTTAGTGGCATTTTTGATTCAGCAAGAATGGTTAATCCGGTCTCAGTGGCGTGTCTATGTTTTCTTTCTGCGCTACCGTTTAGAGCAGAGGTAAGGGGGCAAGGATATCTGATTAGAATTCCACTATTTTGCAATAATTTGATGAGACTTGTGTACTCTCCACCCATATCAGATTGAACACTATTGATTTTTCTTTCAAATTGATTTTCTACTAGTGTCTTAAACTGAACAACGATTTGTTTGACGTCTGATTTACTTTTCAGGAGATGAAGTCATGTATACCGGCTGAAATCATCTTGTGTTGTTGAGTTGTCAAACCTTCATTTATATATAGAGCTTTTACAATATGCTGATGATAAGAATAATCAAAGAGGAAATGATGAGTTATGTATGATTTGCAAATGACAGCCTATGAAAACGATTATATTCCTCTAGTTGGTTGTGTAATGTTCTTGACTGTACTGGTAGCTGGATTTGATGCTCTTTCAAGAATGACCACTTTAGTCCTTGAAGTTTAATAGGGAGACTTGTGAGCTGCGAGTTAATGATGGAATTGACCTTTCTGGACCGGATATTTTTTTTTTTGTTCAGAGATAATGAGTTGACTAGATCTAGGGAGATCAATTTTGGGGTCAGAAGTTATGATGGGTTTTGGATGGGGAGTCTTGTCTGGTAATGGCATTGTTTGTGTCTGGAGACTGCCATGGAGGATCTATTAGGGATTCGAGTTCCATCTTTTTTTTTTTAATTATGCAATTCCCTTTATTTTAATACTTAATTTACATAATAAGTTGTACCATGATTTTATTAAAAAACGACAGCAAGTATTTCCTTTTCTTTTTATTTTTAGAGTAACGTTTAATTTAGTTCTGCTTTCTCACTGCCCCGACTCACATTACCCCTTTTCCGGAACGGCCGGGGAGCCTCTACCCTCTCGCATCAAACAGCGGCGACCTTACTTCCTTTCACTCTATTAAGTCGATTATCCTTATCCGGCACGCCCTTAATCTGTTTGATTCTCCATTCATCATGCATGGCACAACTGGTCTTTACTTTCTCACCAATGGTAACTCACATTTCTTTTTCTTTTCAAATTCGTGATTTTCTTTTCTTTTTATCGTCGAAAGTCTTCAGATTTAGAAGATTCTGCTTCCATTCGTTTGTGTTCACAAAAGATAAGGAAGAGAGCATTACTGGTATATGAGGGAAGTGGAGGTACATCCAACAGACATCCTGGGAAGACGAGAGCTTTTTCAAATTTTGATTGTTTGTGGTGTTCTTTGTAGTTATTTTCGGGCGTAAACAGGAATTATCCAATACCCATTTCTTGATTTTTTTTTTCTTCTTGTTATTTCTGTTTACAGAGCAAGGTTTTTATATTTTTATGGTTTTTTGAGTTTTGTAGTTTCAGTGAGTTGCTTGTATCCGATATAAAGATTTGGCTTGGTTGTCTGTTTCATTTTGGCTTAAGCCCTTACATGCCCGTTTGCTACTTTGCTGAAATGGGGTTTTACTTCTAAAGTTTCATTATTTTTGTTTAGTCCATGGTAAAAAAATATACATCTGGCGAATTAGTTTTGAGATATATATAGCAGACATATACCATATATATTCTTCAAAGCCAGCCACTACTACTAATAACAAAATCTTGCAGAGGTTAGCTTTTTATGTTTTATTTTTGATTATTTTATTAATTTAGATTTTTTATTGGCATTTAAGTAAATAAGTAAATTATTTTTAATTTTTTTAACTGATAAAACAAGCAAATAAATGGGAGGAGCTGGTGGGATGGAATAGGTTACTTAGAAGGTTTTTGAGATTAAACACTCATCTCGAATATTTGTATAGGGGAATATAAAGTTTAGGGTTTTTATTAGCATTTTAAAAGAACATGGGTCCTAAGATATTTATAATAAATATAATTTAGTCTTTTTAAATAAAAAGCTACATACTTTTTGCTATCGACGCTTTATCCAAATTGCATAACTGCTTAATTTTTAAGTAACTTGAAGCACCCTCCTGCTTAAGCACATTTATTTCAGCAATGTTGATCATTCTTTATTGTTTTGTTTTTAAATTTTTCTTTGCAGGTTCTCCTTTTTTAATGATGGACTCTAGGCTGCAGCTGAATGAACCTAGGCTTCTCTTTCCGGTTTGTTCTTTTCTTTCTTGAAAATGAAGTATGTGCTTTATTGACCCTTCAAAATATAAATGAATTGCTTCTCTTGTTTTTGTCCTATAACATACAAAAAGAGAATTCAATGCTCAAATGAACAGCAAGATTGATGGCTTCTGTTGATTCTTTTTGATACTGTTTTCAGTTTAAGAAGCAAAAACAAAAGAGAACCTCAAATGGGTCCCAAGGACTTCCGAAATGGGTGGCTTACTATGGGTTGAAGGCACCTCCTTACAAGCTTGTAAGTGAATATAAAAATTTCAATTCATATATTATTGACATTTCTATTTGTTTTATATGTGTTAATATAGCGTGCTTGATATTTGGACATGTATTTGACACAAATGGCTCAAAACTTGATTTCATTTAGTCAAATCTTGTGATGGTTATATCTTTTATTTAACTTGGCATATAACTTAATGTTTGGATTCATGAGATCGAGGGAAAAGGAAAGGAAGCTAAGGGATGCTCACATATGTTCTCTTTTTTGTTTTATAGAAGGACTAAAAAGGAATAAGAGTGGGTGACTCTATGAGCGTCCCTAACTTTTTTCTTGAACTCCTTTTTTTTCTCCTTTTATTCACTAAAATTGGGGAAAAAAGGAAAAAAAAACTTTTGAACATAATTGGCATCTTTGTAACCTTTTCCTATGGCATAATCCTCTCTAATTTCATGGTTCAATTTGAAGATTATACCATTCGAAATATGTTCTTTTGTAGAAATCTTAATCATATAAAAACAACCAACATGGTTTCCGTGCTTAATAACCTTAAGCCATCTATTCTTTCTTCAAATCCTAATAAGAGAGATACTCCCAAAAAAAGAAAAAAAAATCCTAATAACAGAGTTGGGACTTCAAATTTTTTGGGTAACTATGTCTGTAAATCCTTCTTTACCCATCTCACCTATAGTCCTATTAGCCAAAATGTGGCCTTCAACAACGCTTTTGAAAGGTTTATGCTCCCTCAGGAGTAAAGATTTTGTTTATCTTTTTGTTCTTTTTCTTGAGATAAGAAATATAAACAATATATTGAAACTCACCAAGGGGGTGCAAAACAAAAAATATTTGCATCCCAGTGAGACTATCAATGACGTCCAAAATTCTCAACCCTATACATGTCATGCTCCAAAAAAATAGAACGAAAATAATGATACCAACTGTCTTTTAGTTTAGAAATATCTCTCCCCACCCCTTCAAAAGCCATCTGATTTTCTTTTTCCAAACCAACCAAAATATAGTCAAAAGAATAATTTTAATGCTTTTCTTTTTTTTTTACATCGTATACCATAAATTGTAAACCATAGGACACCAAAGTAAAAGATGGTTACAAGTCTCTGTCGCTCTTTTACATGAGTAGCAAACATTCACCATAACTCTGCCTCTTCTCATAAGATTGTCAGTGGTCAAAATGTACTCTCTTCCAGCTTTCCATGCAAAAAAAAAAAATTTTAGGCAGAGCATGGGCCTTCCAAATCCATTTGTAAGGGAACACCAGGACCTCTTGATTATTAGTGTCCCTCAATGAAATATAAAAGGATTTCACAGTAAATTGTCCATCTTGTTTAGGTTTCGACAGCAACACGTCCCTATTCAAAGTCATATGAACGCACGAGAGCAGCTGTAATAAAGCTTCATATTCCCCCACCTCCTAATCATTCAAATTCCTCTCCACTTCTACATTCCACACCTCCCCAATCCCCTACCACCATAAACCTCGTCCACAACAATACTTTTACTCTTGTCAATATTAACAATACGTGGATATTGATCTTTAAGGTTCCATTACCAATCCACTCATCGATCCATAAACGAATTTTATCACCCCTCCTCACCTGCCACTTGACATAATGAGAGAATTTCCCACTATTCAACCCAATCCTCCTCCACAAACTTAAGCCATGGGAGCGACCCGAAGAGCACCAAGACTCACTATCCACCCTTTAAGTATTTCTGTAGCCATTTACCTTGCAAAGGCATGTTCATCTCGACTAACGAGCACATGCCCAAACCTCCATACCTCACAACCTTCTTAATATCTTGCCCAAACCTCCATACTTTTTTTTAAGTATTGCGTTCAAACTTTCATTTTCATACATTAATTGGTATAAGAGTTTAACTTTGATCTATTATGCAACCGTATTTTTTTCTTTTTCAGACTTCACAACCTACTACCAAAACCAATAGCCTCTCATATCCTGAACCCCCAAGTGACACAAAGATAGAGACCCTTTGGCTGCAAAGGATTCACTTCCATCTTTTCGAGGTTGGTGTTCCTGCCAAGTTCATCAATTTCAGAAGGTTCCGTTTGGCGCCTCCACTAAATCTTGTTGTCTATCGTTGTTGGTATCCTTCTCACTCGCCAGAAACCATCAGATCACCACTGCGATTGATAGATCTCCTTGCTAGCCACGACGAGTAACACCATTAGTCGGATCCCTTGCCAGAAGCTTGATGTTAGAGAACCATCGACATGTGGGTCTTGGGATTCTTAAGCCTTTGTTGACCAGTTTAAACTAGTTTGACTCAATCCAGTTCAGCCACTCTTGTTCAGTCGCCTATGGACAAATTCTTGACCTTTTCAGACTGGTTTTGAAGGCACTTTGTTGTGTGTTTTTGTTTTCCACTTTTTGTGGTCAATTTGGTTAAGTTCAGATCTCTACCCACTTTTAAGGGAGATTGAGCATTCAGACATTATTATGAGCCACATTGTTTCTGGAAATTGACATATGGCTGTTAGAGTGAGTGAAACATGGCTGCAAGAATAGAATTATTAGTATTTGTTTATTTATCTAGTTGTATTTAACGATATAATTAGTTATTAAGATAAGTGTGAAGGTAGTTTCTAGGATGTGGGGTAGTTACTTTGAACAGGTGAAGTTATTATCCTTAGGACCTGTATGTTTTCTTATAGAAAAAAGAAAACATTAATATGAATTAGATATGCAGAAAATTTGTGTTGAAGTTTCTTAAGCACTTAATCTAAGGAGATCTTTAGGTTCTTTCTTAATGAGCCTTAATATTCATCTTCAATAATAGGTTTCCCTTCAACAGATTTCACACTACAATTAGCGTGCCAATTTGGTATTAGAGCCGTTTGTTATGGGTGACTCTATATCATTACAACATCAATTTGAGACTTCTCAGCTTATATTAGGACAGAGCACAAGACCAATTGAAATGGGAATGCTAGTGTAACAGTAGCAAGCCATAGGCATACAATTCGATGATCTCATCGAGGATCTTTAAATTGCTCGACCAGTAACCAAAGAAGGAAGTGCAACTTGTGGCCCTTGTGACAGAGATCATTCGGATGATGGACAAACAGATCCTAAACCTTTTGTTCCTGAATAGGCTAAGTTGCTTTCTCAACGTTATGATGGCACTATCAATCCTCTTTGGTGTAAACTGCTGCAATAATTTCTTCTGGAATCAAGAGATTCTTGAAACAGAGAAATTTGTCTTTGTTCCATCTTCAAGGAGATGCCTAACTTTGGTTTTTAAAGGTGGAAAAGAGATCGATCCAACATAACTCGGAAGATTTCAAGAAGCAATGCCATTTGAGATTCGATCCACCAATCCAGAGTAATAAACTAAGAGAACTGTTATAACTGAAACAGCAATATGTTAGTTGAGTTTGAGACAGATTCTCACGCACAAAATTCTTGAGAACCGAACATGGAATCTAAATATTTCTTAGTGGTTTGCAGAAATATGTTTTTGTTGAAGTTGAATCACACGCCCAAAAGACCAAACCACAGCCTTGAGCTTGGCAAGTTTGTATGAACATGTGGTCAGTCTTGAGGCGGGGGAAATGGCAGCTCGCAAGAATCTGTTTCTAGCCAGAATCAACCTTTCCTTGCTAAATGATTAAGTCCAACCAAAGTTGATGGATGCCAGGAGAACAGTCTTTGCTTCTCTTACGATGAACAGGTCATGTCAGGACACTGATGCAAGAAAGTTTTTCTGTTGGAATCAATAGATGAGAGAGACAGTTGTGAAACAGGGAAATTGGATCCAGAATCCAAGGCAGAAAATTATTAATAAAAAAAGAATTTCTATTTGCACCTGCTTGCCTCTCTAGTGGATTGCGTAATTCCATACTGCCACTTTTTGGCTGCATATCCGGTTTGGGTGCTTGAGAACAAGCACCTTTTCGAGGAGTGTTTATTGTATGAGCCACATGGCTAGTAGAAATGATTGCCACACGGCTACTAGAGCATAATTGTTATTTTCAGTGAAATGATATAAATTAGTTATTAAGATAGGTGTGAAGGTAGTTTCTCTGATATGGAGACAGTTACTTATAACTGGAGAAGTTACTATTCGTAGGAGCAGTTATGTTTTCTTGTAGAAAAAGAGAATAGTAATCTGGATAAGATACGCAAAAAAATTTGTCTTCAAGTTTTTTGAACTTATAGGGATCTATAGGTTCCTCTTAATGAGCTTAATTTCATCTTCAGTCAGAGATTTAAAAGGAAGAAAGAATCAGTGAAAATATGAGTTTCATTTAACAAACTTCACACTACAAGGACCTCTAACTATTGTTATTGTGTCATTCTGTAGAGGGCTTAAGTGATGACCCGTGAAAATTGGTTATATGCTTATGAACAACCAATGAGTGAACTTCATCTTCCTGGACTAAGTCAGGTATTCTCTCAGAACTGTACTGTGAGCCATCTAAGTCAATGCATGGGAAGGATTGAGCTGTCACAAGAAAACTTTTAGCCTCGTCCCTCTCATTATATTTTGGATCATTTGGAAGGAAA